ATGTGTGTTGAAATCGTTCTTTAAAATTAGAAAGTCATGGACATTGAAAATAAGTCTGCTAACCTAATCATTATTTTAAAATTCCTTGTTTAATATCAAATTGTTCTTGATTATTTATAGAAACATTGAATAAGCTAATTTACATGCAAATTTTGATTCATATTTGTATGAGATATTTTTTATTCAGTCATACGACGACAGTGTGGGCTATTTTAATTTTCCAGACGTATTCATAAAATGTTTTTGGAGTTTGTGGAGATTGTACTATTTTCGGGACTCGGTTCCATGACTTTCGGTGTCTCAAGCAAATTTTTAACCTCTAGACCACTGGGTTGGTCCTTTGTTCAAACCTCACCTGAGAGATTGTGAATGCTTTCTGCTGAGGAGTTCCATACCAGGACGAAACGGCCGTCCGATGGTTCTAAATTTTCAATAGTGTTCTAGCTTAAATTAACTCATGAGTTCAATTTTGTCTTCATAAATGTTAAGGTTTATATTAAGAACCATCATTGTTATTTTATCTTCAGAAACCATTTTTAAAAGGTAAAATACAACAGACTAATCTAAATGTGGTATTCAATTACAAAGTTTTAACTGTAATAACAATTATCTATAGTTTTCAAACGTTTGTTCATATGGACGTGATAGTTAATCAATTTTTTATCCAAAATATATTGCAACATATCTCTGTATTTGGTACTTTAAAATAGTTTATGACGTAAAATCACTCCATATTCACAGTTTCTTAATATTCGTTGAGTCGATATTGATCTTTCGTTTGTAATCTATTTTCTTTTTGATTTATTACACAATTCAAAGCACCTCTGTTCTGGACCTCTGTGTACTAATTAACTATAAATACGATTGCATATATTTAATAATTACCATCGTCGTAACGAAAAACTACCCTCACTGAATTATCCACTGCTTCTTTTTTAAAAATGTATTTACGTATAAAATCTACAAACAATTGAAATGTCTTTGTTTGTACAATATTGTGAACATCTTATTTTATTCATGTAGTTTCATTATACAAGAGGTTGGTCGCGGCCCAGATATCCCAGTGGTAACGTCTCTGACTGTGAAGCTGGGTGACACGGGATCGAATCCGTCAGGGAGCACCAGTTCCCACAAGATTACAGGTACACCTTGATGACGAGTGCCAAGTAGCACGAAACCCGGGGCCAGAGTTTCCTGTTGACTACCTCCAACCACCATCTTATCTCAACATAGGGCGCGCAATGTCGAGTCACCTAGACTAGTGTTCACTTTGCAACTTGGTCGACAGCATTCGATTTGCACTAAAAAGGATTCGAGACACATGACATTAATCACCACACAGTGATCAATCAATTGTGATAGTTTCACCATACATTTTGGCAACAACTGTGCAAGTAAATTTTGGTTCATAATTATAAAAAAGATTACATAAGCTTTACTAATTAATAAGTTGTTGAGACTCATTGAACGGATGGTTTCAGATTTCAGTTGAAAGTTACCAGACAGTAAAAGCAATGAGATGTGTAACCTAAGTTACTGGGAAAGTTTTCTTCCTCAAATGACAAGTGTTCTTATAAATTAAAAGTATCTTTAAATCAATTTTATTTCGAATATATTTGAAAATCAATGAATTTTCGTTGTAATTAACACAGATCATAACTTTGGTATAAATGTAACAGATGTTGATCATACAGTAAAAGTACATTGTAACATAGTTGTCCGTCAGTTTTTTGTAAATTAGGATAGAAAGATTAGTTTTTATATTTATTGTAAGCCAATCAATTAATCAAATATAAACTCAAGTCATATTTCAATAAAATAATTTGAGAACGTTTTATTTAGCTTATTGAAACTATGATTCTTTCACAATAACCGAATGATGAGGTCAATTAGCCTGTACTGAGTTTGTTTTCGAAAGTTAGGTAAAGTGTACTCTGGAAAACTTAACCAGTTATATAACAATCAAGTATTTCTAAGGATGATTAGACTAATATTGAACTTGTCAATTTATGGAGAAAACAATTTGTTTTACACAAAATTAGGCGAATTAAGCAATGCATCCTGATAGTAATAATAAGTCAGCTTTACTAATGATATATTTGACTCTATTAAAGTAAGAATTCTATAGGTATTTTGTCTACTTAACAAAGCAGTTAATTTAATAAAATGGAGGTAATGTTGTGTAGAAAACATACGATTTCTCCAAATGTCATTTAATAAACCATCTTTAAGGTTTTATTATTTTGGCCACTAGAATAATCGACTTATGGTACAAGTTATGAAGAGAATCAATGCAAACTATATATATATATGGCGAATATTTTAGTACTCTACCTGCTGTATTCAGGTCCGAACTGTACTAAATTTAACCCTACAGAGCGAACACTTATTCTATAACGACACCATACTTTCTATTAAATAATTAAATAAAGTGGAAAGTCTTATGTCGAAAAAAGGAATTATTGTCTTATAAGTAGGACTGTAGATTAATGGTTATGGGCAAACACCACATAATTAATCATAATTTGATTTATAGTTTGTAAAATAACATTCATGAAATAAAGGAGACAATATTTTAATAAATAGAGCGTGACAATCTTCCTTTTTCCGCGCTATATATATTATCGTGTGTATATAGGTACAACAACGAATTTTATATAATCCGGATCTTCAGGAATTTTTTCTCTAATATTTAAAAAAATGCCGCTACTTACAGAAAGTTGAAGTCATTTGTTAGCTCTCAGTGTAATCATGATAATACGTGGTTAAAAAGAATTTTCCGCCTATTTAGTAATTCACCAAGTCGTTTTCATACTGTCAGTAGCTTGATGTATAGAATCTTTGAAGTAGAATTTTTAGCTAACTATTTGTCAAAATTATAAACTTTACTGTGCATATACATAAAATGTCAAAATGATTGCCTTCCAATAACCATAAAATGCCTAATAATACTAGTTATTTACGATATGTCTTATGAGCTCTAAACTGTTGATCTGCGTATTTTGTATAATTTTTTTACCAGCATTACAACTGCACTGAAAGCAGATTTTAAATAACAAGAAGTAGACAACATAATACTAACTACTACTGTTATCAAATGATGGAAATATGCTTTTCATAGTCAATATACAATCTTGTTTATTTTAATTTTTATTCAAATGTAAATGTTTAAAGTAACCTAAGAATTTATAAATAAATAAAGCTATGCTTTTCATTGAGAGTGTGAAGTTATGCATATTACAACTAACTTAAACAATTACCAGTATACGGTTATGGAGATTATTAATTTTTTGATTGAGATCATGAACCGATTGATTTTAGACCAGCATTGAAAATTTGGAAGCACAGGACGGCCGTTTCGTCCTATTGAGGGACTCTTCAACAGTGCACATCCACGATCCCACCTCGCGAAATTCGAACCCAGGTCTCACGCGCGAACGCTTAAACTCTAGACCCTTGAGCCGGCATCCAACGGTGTTAATGTCTAACCTCAATCAATCCACAAAATCACGCGACCATCTTCCAATGTACTGTCTCTACGCGACACGGATTAGCTCACTAGTGACTAGCTTCGTGAGGGAAGTCTCCGAGTTCGAATGAGAAGCCGTGACCATGTTTAAGTTAGACAATTTACTAGTTTTAATTAGTATGTGAGTTCGGTAATAATAATGATAATAATTTGATTTTTCTATAATTAATTATAATCATTACATTAACTCACGTGTTATCATTGTTAAGATTCTTCTCTATTATTTAATGGTTTAAAAATAGAAAAGTATATTTGTTTAATACACTTAAGTATTTGTTACATTTCAGTTATTATTTTCTCTACGGTTGTTTTTTTGTAAAAACAATGAATAGCCTTTTCTTCTGAATATCTTATTTAATTGCATTCTTGTGATTTAGAAAAAAGGAGGTAAATGAATTTCTTTTATGTAATGTATCAAGTGAAAACTGTGTTTTGAACTCATGACAAGATCTAAATGAAATAGAATTCATTTATTTTATTACCTTCTACTATTTAACTTCTGGATAAATAGTAATGATTCAATTCGGCATATTCCTTGGATTTTACTAATTATGTATATTGTTTTTGAGGAAACCAAATAACAGAGCGTTTTATTCGTAGACGCTCTTAAATACTAAATACCGACGTCTTCCAAGATAAGTAAAGATGGATAATAGCTAGCGATGGAATCCAGGACGCGCGTTTCCTCTTATCTGGAGCTCGACACCTGGACGTAACTGCATTTTTAAGTTGATGTACTTTCTGAGACTCGAACATAGATGCACGTACATCCAGCTGAAGAGTCTCAAATAGGATAAAACGCGCGTCCTGGATTCTACTACTAGCCACGATCCATCTTTGCTTAGAGTGTTTGTGAATTAAGGGAATATCGAGACAATATGCACATTATGTACATATGCCAATAAGAGACTGATCGATTGCAATCCTATGCATCAATGGGAAGATTCAAGTGAACAATACCAAGTGAATTTGTCTTTAAGGATAGTTTATGATTTCTGATTAGAATCCTTTGATTCACTACAAAATCTATTGTATGTATAATATCTATTTATGTTCGAATTCTGCATTCCTACTTAAAGTATTCCTAATAATCTTGAAGTTATGTCTAATATTTTTTTTCTTTTTAAAGAAAAATATTAAATTTTATAAAAGGATTCTTAAAGTCAAATATGTATATTTGATAACAGAGAGAAATAGACATGTAAAATCACATTTTATATAATTAGTTTAACTGTGTAATATGGTTCAACTTGTCTAAGTTTATGCATAATTGAAAATGAACTTGTCTTTCTTCATTAATTCTCGTAATTCACAACAGAAATCGTACATCCACTAGTATATCTCACCATAACATAACATGTATTGAGATATTCGAAACATAATCCAATATAGTCAATTATTACATCATCGTGATATGTAATTATGATGAAATGGAATATTCCACTGAATAACCAATAAGAATATTTCATATTCAAACTTGTGATGTACGAATTGATGTCGCAGTCGTTCTAATCTTCTTGTCTTTTTTAATGTATTCACGACAATACGGAAAACATGAAAATGCTGCATAAAATCCTTTACGAAACCTGTTTTGTTTTAGTTTATTGGTATCATGGTAGAAAATAGTTGAGGTTCGATTTTGAGCAGTCGATAATTGTCATTTTTTTAATGAAAAAAAGAAGAAAGAAAAACACAAAACCATATTATTAGCAAGAAAAAATCCTTGAACAAAATAACATTAGAGGAATGAATATAACTATAACAATTAGGGCTATATGGATTAAGTGGATAATGGAATGGATGTTAGAATTGAAAGATATTGAGTTCGAGTCCTAGAGTGTATGTATATCCAACTGAAAAACCCCAAATAAGATGATACTCACATTTTAAAATCCACCGCCGGCTACTATCAAACTTTTGCCTAAAAATGCTTGCGACTTAGCATTACAATCTAATAAATCTACCTAGGATGAAAATACGTTAAAAAATACCCTCAAACATCAGTTTTTACCACCAATAACGGTAAAGCCCTACAAAAGAAATTTCTCAAATAAGTAAACAATGTTATATTGTTTCCATTTTATTATCATTTCTAATTATTAATTATCGTGATAATCTATGTAATATATCCATTGAGAAAATGTAAAATTTTAAAAATCAATTATATTGGAGGTTTTTAATTTTACATTCATTTCTGAATGTATTCCTTTAGTAACTTTTTATGTAGAAACAGTCTATTTATCAAACTACTGTAAAATTATGTAAGTTTGGTAATTTTGCAAACATTGAACATTTAATAGTTGAGATCATGAGCCAATTGAAGCTAGACCATCATAAAATACCTGGAAGCACTGGATGGCCGTTTCTTTCTATTGTTGAACTCCTCAACAGTGCTCATCCACGATTCCTCACGCGGTATCCGAACCTAGAACCTATTGATCTCTCGCGATAACGCCTAAGTTCGAGATCACTGGACATTCGTAAATAAAATGAATGATCTTTCATATTTGTAACATAATGTATAATCAAATCTAAGCTCATTAAATTTGCTATAAGTTAGTTAAGTGTCTATTTCATTTCCATATTTGCTATATGAAATATTTATGTATATATCAGCACATAGCTATTAGTTCTGTCAAATTTATCCAATTCAATAGATTACGTTTTATTTTTTATTCACATGGAAAACAAATTTGTATATTAGAGTGTAAAATGTACTTGAATACTCGCATGGAATATCAATTCAATGCCTTTTTAAAAAAAATTGTAAATTGAGTTTCATTTTCTAAAACAATTAATGATTTCATGAAAATAACTTTAAAATCATTAACTATATAGCGGTTATTATACTAAACATTGAAGTGTCATATATATTTTATAAACTGAAACGTAGCTCGTAACTGTACGTACAAATTATATTTTGATAAGAAACCAGAACTGAATGGTAGACCTTGCATTAAGGAGTGTTATCTGTAACTGTAAAATACCGTTTATGAAAATAAAGAGTTGACAACGCATTGTGAAATGTACTATTGTTTACTGACTGATTGATCAATTCATTAGTTTTAGCAAAAATTGTTTAGCGTTTTAGCGTTTTTTTAGCGAGTCAGTTTTCTACTGGATGGGATCGTTAACCCCATGCCCAACTCTCCTCCTTTATCCGGGCTTGGGGCCGGCAGTATCCCTAAAGGTGCTAGTTTGCATTGTTCTCATGGTTAGTGGAAAATAATTTATAAATGAGAAGTATCTAAATTAACTGTTCAAATAAAACAAATAAGAAAACTAAATATTTGAATTCATGAGTCAACTGAAGCTAGAACATCATGGAAAACCTGGAATTATTGGATGACCGTTTCATCTTATCATAGGACGCTTCGTCAGTGAGCATCTGTGAACCTGCCTCGCGAGATTCGAACCCAGGGTCTTTCGCGTGAGCACTCAAACACTGGATCACCAAGTCGACATCCAACAGTATTAATATCTAACTTCAACCAATCATCGAAGTTGTGCCACCGTCCACCATTGTCATCAGTGTGTTAATATCTCACAACAGACCCAGTTGAAAGAAAACACTTAAAAATCTAAAAACATTTTAGAAACACTTGGTATTGTTTGGCTTGTATCTTCCCATTGAGTTTTGAGACTGCAATTGATCAGTCTGCTATTGGCATCTGTGCATACTGTGCGTATGCCTCGATATCGCCTTAATTCACAAGCTATTTGTAAGCAATGATGGATAGTGGCTAGCAGTGGAATCCAGAATGCGCGTTTTATCCTATTTGGGATTCGTCGGCTGGATGTACCTGAGTGGATAACGCGATGGCGTTTGAAGCAAATGGTGCTGGGTTCGAGTCCCGGAGTGAACATCAACTCTACGATGTAGGTACATCTAGCTAACGAGTCCCAAATAGGACGAAATGCGCGTTCTGGATTCCACTGCTAACCACTAGTCATCATGTTGAAAACATTTTTAATCTAGGAACTAGTTAAATTTGTGCTATCTTTTTGAAGAAAATATTTAATATATATATGCAACATCTTTTTGATACTTGAAATTTATAAGCACTTTACATCATATTCATATTTTATTGTCCTTAAAACTACTGTATAGTTTTATGTATAGTCCAACAGATTACTTTAATATTTACTCCATATTGTAAAGTTTCTAATTTTGTGAATTCATTTCTAATTATTAAACCTAATCCCTGGATACCTATTTTGTATATATCAAAGAAACTTCTTATTTTTAATTTAAAAAACAATCTAAAGATGATTATTTTTATTTATTTCAGTTTAAACCCGTTTTATTTTGAAATTTCCCACGTACTGAGAATTCTTTTGAAACCTTATGTGAATAGTGATAAATATACAACAAAGCAGCTAACTATGTAATCAATTATACAGTATGGATAAGATTTTCTTTGATCCGTTAGTGAATACAAATAAATGAATATACTAATGTTATGAAAGATCGTTTCCAAGTATCAAGAAGGAAGAAAAAAACTTTAAATACATTTTATTATCTCGTTAAAAGAATCATTTCGAAACTAAGTAACATCAACTTTCGTCAATAAGTAATATGTATTTACTTGTGATTTGAAAGATAAAAAAATGTAAACAAAATTGAATAACTAGATATTACCATCTAAATAATTTCCTTTATGAGTCAAAGTCTGCTTCAATAGTCCATTATCATATGTACAAACTCATTTCTTTAATTACTCAACGAATAAGATTTTGATAATATAATCACTTATTCTCTTTGGTTACAATGACACATGCCATTGCAACCAACAGCAAAGTCAGAATTTTCAATACAAATGTCAAGACAGTTCTATTGTATAAGGCGGAAACTTGGAGAACTACGAACGCCATCATCCAGAAGATACAAGTATTAATTAACAGATGTCCACACAAAATACTTCAGATTCGTTGGCCGGACACTATCAGCAACAACATTTTCTGGAAAAGAACAAACCACATTTCGGTGGAGGAGGAAATCAAGAAGAATAGCTGGAAGTAGATAGGACAAACATTGAGGAAAGCACCGAACTGCATCACAAGGCATGCCTTCACTTGCAATCCTCAAGGCTAAAGGAGCAGAGGAAGACCAATTAACACATTACGCCGAAAAATGAAGACAAACATGAGAAGAATGAACAACGATTGGATAGAAGTAGAAAGGAAGACCCAGGACAGAGTGGGCTGGAGAATGCTGGTCGGCGGCCTATGCTCCATTAGGAGTAACAGGCGTAAGTAAGTACGTAACAATGACACATATTGTTTCGAACTGATATCATTATTCAGACTAATCACAGGAATATAATTGTAATTAGTGAAATACTTTTTAAGTTCAATATAAATATATAGTATTTGTGAATTGTGATACACTAATAATGATTAATTCAATGTTTATTATTCTACAAGTGAAGTGTATATATATTCTGTTAGTTATATTAATACAAATAATAATAAAATGTTGGTAAGCCATAAGCGTTAATATAAAATGATTGAAATAAGTAAAAGACATTAATTGATATTAATGTATTGTATTTAGATGACTTGATTAAGATCAATGAAATATATTGATTGTACAATTTTGCTTAGAAATTCACTTAAAAGAGAACTCTTCATTGAAGTGATCTTTCTTATTTCATAGCTAAATGAAGCGATTATAAATTTCTTTCAAGTTTCAGATCAGAAGATCAATGTGATTTTATGATAAAGTGAATATTATTAAGTGTGTTGGTTACTACTTTTAATTTTTTTGATAATTTTTTTTTACAGAAAAAATGAAGATAATCAAATTATTTTTCATTGTGAAATATATAATTCTACTTTTTTTTAACGTAAAATTAATTATCAGTATGCGGTTGGTACTGAGGGGTTCTATAATAGAACGAAACGGTCATCCAGTTCTTACAGGTTTTCAATGGTGGTCTAACGTTAATCGGTTCATGATGTCAATTAAAAACTCAATAATCTCCGTAACCTCATACTGATAATTACCATGAGCTTATTAGTGACTAACGTTGGGAGGGAATTCTCGGAGTTCTAGTGAACAGTCGTGATCAGTAAAGCTAATCTGTGTCATGTAAAGACAAGTATCTACCTCAGACAATGGAAGATGGTGGCATTGTTTCTTGGATTGGTTGTAGTTGGACATTAACACCATTAGATGCCGGCTCAGTGGAAATATAATTCTAAAAACGTATTTTAAGCTTAGCAAATTTTTTTTAAATGGAGCATAAAACTATAAGTCAGAGCAATGATTTATGATAGAAAGCACTTACGAATAAAGTAAATTAATTTATCTAACTAGAAATCATCTGTATTTAGATCAGATTTGTTAATAATTAGAACACCTATTAAATCTAAATGTATGAGCCGGTTCTCTTAATTGTTTTCACTTAAGTTGTAAATAACACGCACACATATCTTGTTGATTTTGACTATCAGCTACAAAAGAATAGATTTAGTAGATTGTATGTTTAATGACAATATAAATTTTAGTAGATTTTAAAATGGCGTTTTTTGTGCCGCTATCAAAATGCAATCACACTGATCACATACCACTGGGTTTTAACAAAAAGAATCATTCATTTTATAAAAAAGAGCCAAATAGTGAGCTGAGACCTGACTCCACGTAGGTAGTTTTTAATTGCTATTGTAATGCATATGTCGCCAATACTCGCATATTATTATAAAATTAAATCGCGTTGGTGAATTACTTAATTAAATAAGTCAAATACGACAATGAACTTTGAATGAGTATATTTCATACAATCGTTGATCTGAACAGACAATCGATCGGAGAAACGAAGCGAAGAAAGCGAAGTGAAATGAGACGCGTTGGAGAAAGCATGTGAGCCAATTCAACATAACCAAGCGTGAAATCATATTTATAGTCAGACAAAAATAAGTTACAGAGATGTGATGAGTAGGATAAGATATGCACACACATACGCATACATAAAAACAGACAGGGTTGATAAGCGAATAATTAACAAGGTCGAAAATATGATTCATGAAAAATGAATAAATTAGTCTGCCCGAAAACTAGAATAAACTATGAGGGCTCGACATAGTACCTGACATTACAGTCAATTCAATGGTATATTCTTTAACTTATTAACAAATGATGGTAAATTTCTTTTAAGTAAACCTTTAATCACGTCACAAACTAATAATTAGTGATAAAAACAAGCTATATGCTTGTGTTTGACATTTGTAAATAAGATAATTATGAATAACCTAAACCAGTTGTTAGTTAACAGTTTATAGCAGAATCTAGTTTGCGATTTTATTAAACCAAACTTTAGGGTAACGTATTTATGATGAAACTTTAAAAAAATCGAGCAAATGAGAATATTCTTATTATGTTTAATTATCATTTCTGTTGTGTCATATACAATAGAAGTGGAAATGGGACCATTAAGTTGTTATCTACAATACAAAAGGTTGTACGTTTAATTTTGTACATTCATGCATGTAATCAATATACTACATAGAAATTAGTTGTGTAACTCTTTATGATGTCAATCAACTTTATTTTGTCTGATGTTATTCAGTCAAAGATATGTGATATGCTTAGAAGTTAATATAATTACATGGAATACCTTAAACTGTTCAATGATAAATAAGATTTCAATGGATTCTATGTGAAATAAGTTCAATATTTAAAAATAAAAAAAAGTTTAGAAAACTCAATTCACTGGTGGTATTAATTTATAGATAAGATCAAAAAGATTATAACCCATAACGTGGTAAATGTTCTCATTAATAATCCTATGATTATTTAAAGTTTCCCTTGGTAATAATTTTACATTCATAGACTAACATACGTTGTACCTTAGTCATACAACTGATTTTTCATTGTCAAATTTGATTCATTTTGTTTTTATTGTTTAAAACAACTGGTAATTTTGTTGTTTTGTTACAGAAAAAAAAACTTTGTCAGCATGAAAATAGTTGAGACTTTATGCTAAGATAGTGGTTGGGGGTAGTCAATAGAAAACCCACTATCTTATGTCAACATAATGCATGCAATGTCAAGTCACCTAGACTAGTAGCTACATTTGCACTAAGAAGGACCTGATATATATGACATTGATTACCACCCAATGATTAATCAATTGTAGAAACGTTATGCACAAATCAATTCCAGAAAAAACAAGAGAATTTTGAAATATTTAGTTATAGCCTTCACTTATTACTGAGGATATAAATGTACTGTCTTCTTTAGTCATCAAACTAAGCTTACAAAATAAGGGAAAAGAGAACATTTGATAGTCTGTCAGTTGTGATTAATTTTTTTGATCATTCACAAATGTTCAAAATCTTATATTTCAATAACAAAATAATCAGATGAATGGTAGAGGGATTGACATATTTCTAACACTGATTGTAATATGAGACTGAACAAAGAAAAAAGAGAAGACTGAATAAAAATTGCATGAACTATTATTGAATCTAAAGATCTAAATCATGATAATGAAGAAGTGTCAATTTTACCTAATACCTTGCATTAGTTACAGGACTACACATTCCATCATTTCTGTTAGAAATAACCAAATGAATGAATGAAATTTTGAAAAACATTATTTAATGAATGTATTGTCTTAACTAAAAGCTTTCATTCAACACATTCACCATTGTTATATCTTTTACTGTTCATCAATTATAGTTAATGAAATATATATTTATTACTTAGTATTGTACTACAAATAATCTGATTTTGTACAAAGTGATATTGCTTATCGCCAGTTGTATTGTTTTACTTAATATAAATAATACTGTGAGTTTAAAAAAAATTGAATATACAGTTCATGTCGATTGACTTGTGTGTTCTGATTTGAAATTGATAAATATAAAGAATTTCAAGAAGTTCATCAGATTAAGCAATTACCAATTATTAGAAAAATCAGAAAAAAATAATAAAAACTTGATTATATTAGAGTATTGCTTTGAAAAGACTTATGTTTGGACAGAAGTAATCTAAGAATGATTCAGGTATTGATAGTTGAAAGTGGAATTTAGTTAAAATGTTGCTTGAATTCCGATGAGATTATAATTTTTAGACGACATTTTAACGATTCTTAAATGACCTTGAGGAAATACGATATCACGTAACATATGCTAGTATTCTCATTGTAACCTGATGAACATTACTCGATTCGCATCAAAGAACAGATAGCATGATCGAAGATAATAACAAGCGATAATGACTGTAATAAGAAAAAAAAACCAAGTTATTTTCTCAAAACAAAAAGTAAAATATAATACATTTATTGTATACAGTTAAATATCAGCTTACTTTTTATTCATTAGAACATATATAATTGGATTGTACATTGAATTACTCATTGCTAACCAATAACAACATATAAATATAATCGGTAAACTATGACTACTTTTAATTGTTGGACTTAATTGTAACAGAATGAAAAATAATTGATATGGAAGCCAACAGATTGCAAATATCAACATAACTGCACATAACATTTTCACTGCCTTTAAGAGAAATGAAACGGGTAAAATATTAAAAAAAAGAAAGATGTTTTAAGAAAATATTTAAACGAACTTTCTTTTTAAAAAATGCTTCTGATAAACAAATTAACAAATAAATTGAATTTAGTTTTTACAATAAACTTCATGGATCCTTATTAGTATTAAGGTAATATATGTCTTGTTATAGTTTATAATTAGGAAGTTAATGAACACATGATGTGAGCTACAGGATTTTGAGGATCTATACATATAAAAAGTACTTGAGCAGCACCACTGATGAACAAAGAGGATCTGATGCAGAGAGAAAGGCAAGGAATGGCAAAATGTGGACAGCATTCCTACATTTTCTGAACATATGGGACTCAAAACGATTGTTAGTCAATATCAAAGTCAGAATCTTCAATACGAACGTCAAAACAGTTCTACTGTACAGGAGTGTAACTTGGAGAACTACCATTATCACTATCAGAATGTAGAAGTATTTATAAACAGTTGTTTACTCGAGATACCTAATGTCTGTTAACCGGATACAATCAGCAACAGCTCTCTGTCCGAGCGGACAAACAAGCTTTCAGCTGAAGAGGAAATTAGGAAGTGACATTGGACTTGGATAGGACATACGTTACGGAAGTCACCAAACTGCATCACGGGGCAAGCGCTAACTCGGGATCCTGAAGGGAAACGGAAAAGAGGAAGACCGAAGAACACACTACATCGGGAATTGGAATCAAACATGAATAAAACCAATAGAAACTGGAAAGGATTATCCAAGACAGGGTTGGATGGATAATTTTGGTGGGTGGCTTATTCTCCTCCACGAAGGGAACATACGTAAGTAAGTAAGTAACGTACAAAAACTCCACGAGTTATTACTAAAAATAGTAACTGGGTATGGTATTAAATAGAGCTAAAATACTAATATATTTTGATGACAGAATAATTATTAGAATGATAAATTTACCAAATTTATTTTTTGTGAACACCGTGCATACATCACGCATAAGTAAAAACATTTTGAGACGATTTCACTGTATGAGATGTGGCGTTCAATGTTTCCTGAACAATTCCTTATTACTTAGCAAGGTAGAATTTTTGTTTTGTAGTCTTACTACTGTGTATCTGTGTACCTACCCGAAATTTTCTGATTACAATCATCTAATATATTAATCACTATTTTTGAAACATTACAAAACCTATGCTGTACCTAGCAATTATTCCATTGAAATTCTAATGCAAGTTTAATCCTATCGACGTTCCTAGTGAACGTTTAGGATACAACATTACTTAAGGCAACATTCAAAGAAATAATTATATAATATTGGATTACTTACTCGTCTTTTCGACTGAACATTTTGGGCTTGTGCCCTAGTGACTTCACCAAGTCCTCTATGAAACCATAAATGAATTGATATTGGAATATAAGTTGTGGCAAGTATGATAAGGGGAAGAACATACATTAACACAAAAAGTGTATAATCGTACCTATAAAATAAATATGTTGAGTAACAAAACATTATTCCCTTTTTTTTAAAAAAAAAACTTCCATGATTAAATTATCATTTCATTATGAAATAAAACAACGTACTGTAATGAACAAAAACACAGATGGGTACGACCAATATATTCTAATGCTAAATTACACAGTATCTTGGTAAAATATAAGAAACATACACTGAATACTTTATTTGCCAATTTCCATCATTAATCCTTCACATTCCGTATGATACTTCAACTTCACAATATCGTTATATTCTCTCCAACTTTATCTTCTTAACTTTCTGATTCCAGGTTTTCCACTTCCAATTGGTGTTACATACTACTTATATGTACCACAGTATATATAATTTAAAACTTATAGTTCAATGCTTAAAGTAGGTATCTTTTGTAAATATTTAGTTTTAATGCTTTCAAAAAAATTTTTTCGTTGAGACTATAATTTGTGGACGAACCAATCAGGTATAAGTTGATAGGTCTTGGATTTTGGCTCAAAATTCATTCATCCGTTCGGTTAAATAGAGTTTTGACATTCAAGCTAATGTCAGTTCGTGATGCAAACCATAAATCTAATTCTTAATCCTAACCATTAATTATAAATCATAATCCTTATTCTTCAAAGTGCTTCATAATCCTCATTTATCTCTGGTAAGTAAATGTACATTCTCAAGGTCATTTTAGCGTCACTCAACGGTTGTCCATAAATTTACAACCTCACCGTTTTTATATGAAATTTGCTTTTGTAAATGAGTTGAAAATCTATAATGTAATTTAGTGTGCTGACATAAAATTAATTCCTGAACCAAAGTCAACTTAGGTTGTGAAGATAATGGCGACGGTAGCGCAATTTCGTGGATTGGTTGGAGATAGACATTAACACCGTTGGATACCGGCTAAGTGGTCTAATGGTTGAGCGCTCGCGCGCAAAACTGATAGGTTCTGGGGAGGAGTCCCATACTAGGACGAAACGACCGTCCAGTGCTTCCAGGTTTTCCATAGTGGTATAGCTTTAACTGACTCATGATTTCAACTATTGAAAAAAATAAGCATTCAACTTTCTTAATTTTTATAGATCATTTTAAAATGATTTGTACGGTCTTTGTATGGTAAGCAAGGAGTGATGGTAGCTAGCAGTGGAATCCGGGACACGCGTTTCATCCTATTTGGGATTCGTCAGCTGGATCTACCTGCATCCCAGAGTTGAAGTTCCTTCCGGGACTCGAAACTGTGTTGCGCTATACACTTAACTACTGAGTTCTGATAACCAGTAGCTTGTGCGATGGGGCGAAGTTTACATCCATTTTGTAAAGTGTTTCGTTGAATTTAGTTATGAAGTGTATATATGTCATAGCCGTGTACCGCACATAGTAACTAGTACACTTTAGAGTTGCGCGCCATGTTTTTGCACTTTTGTCACATTGTAACTAATGAAGCAAATCGAAACAGGACTTAGGAAATCACCAGTACTACTCTTGCCCATTTCATCCTATGCTGTACTGTATTGGATAAGCATAAACAAACCATTTTGAGTGTGATAGCCGTGTGTTCTGTTCAATACAAGTTTTCATGTAAATAACGGATGTTTACTAATGTTTATGACTGCCAGAATATTTGAAATTATTTCCAGATAACCAATTTGTTTTCTAAAACAATCAATAACTTACGCTTCAGACCACTCTGATGACCAGTTAAGAATACAATCATTCGAAACATATTGATCAGGTGAGTTAACCGAGATTTGTTTCACCACAACAAGTAAATCTGTACTATTTGCTATATTTTGTAAGTTTGATAAGTTTTTTGGATAAACCGTAGCTACAATTAATCCAGGCAATCCAATTGCAAACGAAATTAACCAAATAGCTACAATTGCACAAATAACTGTCTTCAGTTTTGAACGTGGACGAAGAGGAAACATGATTGCAGTATATCTAGAATGGCAAAACACATATTAGGTTAAAAACAATTAACAATTTAATCAGTACGTGCAAATTAGACAGTTTTCTTACTTACAGAAAAAAAAGAGGTATTTCTCTGTGCATGAACAAATTTATTTTTCGCATGGGACGTTTGTGAAAAGTGATGAATGTTTCATAGTTTTTATCACGGACTGGCATCATTTAATCATTTGAAACCAGTAAGCACTGTAGAACTGCCTCATTTTAGTACAGGACCCCTCGATAACGTACATCCAGGACCCAACCAAGAAACTTCGTTCTCGTGTCGAGAGCTTAACATATATACCACTGGTTCAAAATCAAGTTGTATACATTTCTAACTTCACTCAGTTCACGATACTGGTCAACCATGTTACACTGTAGGAGGTGTTTAGATGTTTCACACTCAAAATTTCTGTAACCCACTGATGATGTGTTTCTACAAGAACTCCTGGAAGAACCTCTAGATTCTAGTCACCAGTGAGCATTCAAAGTCAAAGGTTCTGGATTCCATCCTTCGTGGTGTAGTGGACGTGCAATATTGGTAAATTTCAAATACCACTGAGCTCGCATTCAGTGGTCTACCTTCAATCAATTCATGGTATTACGTAACCTTCATCTATAGTCTTTGGTGGATAACTACCTCACAGACGACATGGTTGAATTTTAGTTAAGAAAGTGAATGTATCTCTATAGGTTCGAACTTTATTTCTTCACTTAATATAAACGATAGTTCTTTATTCAGAACATATATGTTCAATGTAAATTTTGGTTTGTGCAACAGTTCAGATAACATTTTATTTTCACTGTTGAATTCACGAGTCAATCTAAGCTAGACCACCATTGAAAACGTGAAACTATTGAATGGTTTAAATCGACTGATGAATTCAACCGTGGAAGTACTACATCTTCACAAATCCCCATACTAACAATTTATTTATAACCAAAGTGATACATATTAATTTCTGATTATTAATTCAAAGTATATTTTAATCCAGTGTATGGTGTTCGCTTGCGCACACATACAGAGATAAAGAGTGATCTCATCAATTATTCCAAGCGTTCAAGTTAATCTGATCATGGATATCAGTAGTAGAATTTTTAAAAGTACATTGTCATTGTTCAAGGTTAAATAAGAAACGAAAAATACACTGATATACAATAAAATGAAATATTGATAATAAGTATTTTTATGTTAAATTCAGTTAGTATTGTTTACTTGAATCTTCTCATTGGTGTTTAGGATTGCAATTGATCAGTCTCTTATTGGCATGTGTGCATAATGTGCGTATTGCCTCGGAATTGCATTTATTCACAAACATTCTAAGCAAAGATGGATAATGGCTAGCATTAGAATCCAGGACGCGTATTTTACCCTATCTGAGACTTTTCAGTTGAATGTACCTGCATCTGGATTCTAGTCTTAGAGTGGAAATCAACTCTGAAATGCAGGTACCACCTGCTGACGCGTCCCAAATAGGATGGAACACGCGTCGTAGATTTTATTGCTAGCTACCATCCATCTTTGTTTATATTTTTATGTTAATTTTGAAATTTAAGTTCAGTAATGAACTGAAATATTTTATCAATTAATACATCGGTGGTCATTCCTTCATAAAAATTTCATAGACTATTTCATTCTCTACTTTTTTTCCACTAAGTATTAGCGTAGTGTTACTGAGAATATTTTATACTGAGGAAAAATCGTTTTACATATTTACACTAAATGCGTGTGATTACTAGATGATGACCAGATAATCCTTTTGCTAGAGTGAATTTAGAAAGGTAGGTGTCAATGCCAAGGTTGGATTTGATAGTTTTGAATAAATTAAGAATTGGGTAGAAAGTCGATAATAAATATACTTTTTGATATATCACAAAAAGTAGAAAAATTGTATCTCTGACGTTTCATGATTTAATGTCAGCCACTACTTCACAGTAAATGAATAAGTAGTAATTATTGAATTTGGAATTATAAACCATTATTTATCAAGTTTTTGTTAAGCAAATATAATTCTTACCATGTGATCAAAAGATTCTAAATTTGACTGTCAACAAAGTAATGGATGAGAACTGTTAAAATCCCTACAAGAACAAAGTGGCTTCTCAATGATGTTTTCTTCAGAATCATTGTCTAGCTAAATTCAGTTCACGTTTTAAAGTTTCTACAAAAGTTTCATTTCAGTACTATTAAAATGTCATTCTTTAAACACTTATGACATATTCAAATATTTAGTTTATTAAAATATTTATTTTGGTATGAATTCTCTAAGCTATTACGAATTCTGACTTTTAAAGCTTATAATGTTTTGGCTGAAAAAGGAGAGGATTTCACAGTCGGTATTTTTCCTCTACTGACTATTCATCATTTATCAACGTTTATTGAATTTACCATTCTCATTTATAAAAATAACTTTGTTAATGTATTGATCAAATCAAACAGTTTGAAACTATACATAACAATTAAAATGTTAAATGATCAAATACTTTTAACGGAATGAGTTTGTTAAATATACCACAACACCCCTATCTGAATATTTACGTATGATCGATAAGTTAGGAAAACTGGAAAATGAACCACATACTGAGTAATGAAAATTACGTTTGTAATATAAAGTATTATCATGTACATTTTGGGATTTGATCACTCTAAGATTGTATACTTCTTATTACAGTATATTATACCGTAAATCTAAAGACTATATATACTTGTCATGAATATTTTTTACATTTATTGGTCTAGAGGTTAAGCGTTCACGCGCGAGACCGATAGGTCAAGCGTTCGAATCACGCGAGGCGGGATCAAAGATGCGCATTGATGAGGAGTCTCACAGTAGGACGAAACGGCAGTCCAGCGCTTCCGGGTTTTCCGTGGTGGTCTAGCTTCAATTGACTCGTGATCTCAACTAGTAAAATTACTATAATATCCACAAAAACCCTTCTAACAATAGTATAAAAGTTGTATATATTATTATTCCATGAATAATTGATTATACTCACGTTTAACCGGATAATTAAAATAATTTCAGTCAGAATAAACATTTCTACATAAATGTCAATAAGATGATGTAATCTGTTACCTGTAAACGCTGGATATTTATCTTTTATTTTTATCTTTTAACTCATTCCATTTATTGCTTATTTTCAACTGTTTTAATAAGCTGAATTTTATTACACAGTTTGTACTTAAGAAGTCATTGATTTATAATAAAGGTTAGTATTCTATGTAATAAATTATATTTAACTCATTTAGTCTCTAATCATATTTAAACAGATAAATTATAAGTAATAATGAATTCATTCAAAAGTAGTCAATTCTTTTTTAATACATAACTCCGGAAATGAAATAAAGTACTTCGAATTGAAGAAATGATGTTGAATTTCATTGAAAAAATGCTGTGTTTAATTATTTCTACAGAGATTAGGTGATTAGAAAAAACGGAAGAACACAAAATGAGAAAATCAAAACATTAATCGAACTAAGTATATCATTATTTTTTTAATGTTTTGTTAGATGTAGCTAAGAAATTAAATGTATACGTAAATATATTTAATCTTTCTCAATGAATATTATTCTCAATAGATCAGATCATGAGTCAACTGAAGCTAGGCCACCATGGACGGTGGCGCAGCTTCGTGGATCCGTTGAAGTTAGACATTAACACCGCTGGATACCGGCTCAGTGGTCTAATGGTTGAGCGCTCACGATCGAGACTTATAGATCCTGGGTTCGAGTCTCGCTGGAGGGCGGGATCGTGGATGCTCACTTATGAGGTGTACCATACTAGGGTGAATCGGCCGTCCAAGGCTTGCAGGTTTTCCGTGGTGGTCAAGCTTCAATTGACTCATGATTTCAACTATTGAAATTATTAAACTCTCCACAAAACAGTTTCTGACAACAAGAAAAACACAGAAATTAACAGTTGATTCAACTAATTAACACGTTTTTTTAGTTAAGTTGATTGAAACCTCCAACTATTCATATACAATACACCCAGTCATATCGACTTTTGTTCTTGATATCCAACAACAACTTTTTCAAAACATAATAAATTCTTCAGAAGAAAGATATTTAACTACTCTATAGGAAATAAGTAACGTTAGTAAGACCAACGTTCCTATTGAATCATATCAAGTACTAAGAAAATTATTATTTCTAGGTATAACGGTTGGATATTAATATTTTATGATCAATAAATTAAATAATATTTCTTTTACTTATAATCTGGAATGTAAATCGAGATTTATTTGTACAATGCTGTGAACCGGAATAATAATATTTTTCACTTTGATGTAACCAAGTTCTGTATTTTTTAAAAACGAACTGATCAAGTTATCAACAACAACAAAATAGACAAGTTATTTAGGATAAAACAAATGTTTACTATTCATAAATGGGTTTCTAAAGAGCTATTAATAGATAATAAAAAGGTAACAAGTTGAGTTTAATATTTTTGACTTGACTGTAAATCACTTTTCACAGTGAAATAAGATGACGAAGATTATTGGAACTGTCGAAATCTATCAAAAAGGGACTAATTACTGTAAATTATTTGTTTGATTCTAATAAAACACATTTTTTCTCACATAATACCAGTTCTTACTTTATTCAGTCGTGACCAACATGATCTCGTGTGCTATTACGGATATGAGGGCTGATGTCACTTCCTGGCTGCCCACACTGTGGGAGGGTATTTTTTGAAGAACATGAAAAAGAAGTTGGATTAGTGTTGGTCTTAACGACCTGGTAGCACGGCCGCAGAGCCCAAGGGACAACTGTTTGATGCTGGTATCGCACGGCCTTTTTGTGGGAGGTTTTTAACGTGTTAGCCCCGTTCTTCAAGAGACCTTACTGCCGGAGACGGAGATCCATGAGGTAAGGTGATGTGTGAAATTTTTAGGGTCGACCTTTTCTAACCCTTCCTTCCTTCTGAGAAGGCAGCGTCCCTGCAGATGCTGGTTGTCTGAGGGAAACACCCTACTGGTGTCACACC